TACATGGAATTGTGATAAAACTACTTATTGGTGTAGGTATTCTAGGGCAAAAAGGTAGCTGAAAGAGTAATTAGGGCCATAATCATTATTAGATAGAATAGGGAAGGAGGGGAGGGGAGAGGATGTTATGGTTAGCATGTTGTTGTTATCACCACTGGATAAAAGATTAGGAGTGGGGCACCAATTTAAGCTCATTCTGTAGTTTTGTATTCTATTGTTTTTTATTTTGTAATTTTTTATTTTTTTGAGAATATTAGAGAGTAGCATTAAGAATTAGAGCTTTATAAAGTATGTATCATGGCGATTAAGAATGCAAAGAGAGACATAGATAAGAAAGACAAACAAAAGAATATGAAGGCTTGGACAAAATTAGTGCCATTAAAAATTGTGATTTTAATCAATATGGAGCCAATCCGGTTGGATATTTGTTGGTCTCCACTGCCTTAGAAGGAGTTTAAGAATGCATAAGTATATGAATTCTTGTGGAGGTCGGATAATTTGTTAGTAATTGATGCAAACATCCTAGAGGAGTATGTGCAGAATTACAACCTAGAAGATGGTTCTAGTATAGTATCTGGACAGATTTTTGGAATAGATGCAGTTGTCTTGCAAAGTGTGTTATATCTTTCAATTTGCAAAATTTTGATAGGAAGTGAAGTATCCACAGATTTCAAGTGGAGAAGTTATTTCAAGACCAAAGAGTATGTATTTGAGAAGAATCAAGGCTAGAAGGTGGTAGAAGCAATTACGCCAATATTTGGTGAATGAATGTGATTTGTGCAAAAGCAGTTGGAGTTGAATTAGCATACTATTTATATGTGGAAGAAGCTTTTATTTGCAGTAATTGGAATAATGGAGAAAATGTTGTTTAATTGGAAAACATACATAACAATAAAGTTTCATGCAGAATTAGAGTTGAAGCAAAAGTAAGAAAAGTGTGTTTCTTTGTTATGCTCCAATTACGTGCATGCAACAATCAGATATACAATGAATCAATCTGCACTAGAAAAAAAAAAAAGGTGGTATCACCAGGATTGTTTGAACCATGTATGCTTGAATTATTTGAGAGAAATATGGCATTGTCTATAGTGAGGCTAAGTGTAGGACAAGGAGAAGGTGGTGAGTACAATACCAAGCTAGAATTACAATCACTAAATGTAAAGATGTCAAGACAAGAGATTGTTTGCCATAAGGCCAATTTGAGGCAAGACATACCTATTTCGGTGGAGCTTTATCAATTGGTAGCTCAAAATGAGACAAGGCTGCAAAGAATGTGTTTAAAGGAGATGTTGCTACAGATTTCTCAATTCTAGATGATGGTCAGCCAATTGGATGGAAAGAATAATTTGAAGAGGAAAGTGGAGAAAGGTAAAAAAATTCTAGATAAGAAGAATCAACTTATTAAGGAATTAACTTGCATTGTAGCTCAGCAAGAGGAGAACCAGTTACAAATGGAAAGACAATATAAGATGATAGAAGGAGCATAGACTAGAAAAAAAATAAATTATAAAAGAAGCATTAGGAATTGGTAAACATGAATACAAGAAATTGAGAGAGAAATAGACCTTTGAGAGTAAAAAAGTGGCAAAATTAGAGGTAGAATGTAAGAAATTGATTGAGCAATGGACACATCAAAAAGAAACATTGTAGATAGAAATTGGAAATTTGAAAGGCACTATATGCAAAATAAAAAATGATTTATCTAATAGGAAGCAGGTCGAGAATTTCATACTAACGGAATCAGCAGTGGAAGTATTAAAGAAGTAGGTGGAACAACAACATAAGCAATTAGAGAGTAGAAAGACCAAGATCTTATAATTAAAATCCTAGATTTGGAAATTGGAAACATATAATGAAGATTTAATAGCCCAATTGAAGAAAGAATTGGATAGAGTAGAAGATATGGACAGTGAATTATTTCGAAGAACTGAGGTAGATGAAGATCAGTAGGACATATTATATGAATCAATGGGTAAAAAGTCAATTGAAATATTAGAGAGAGTTTTGGTAGGCCGTGTTGTAAATATTGTATTTGCAAGGGCGCTACAAAATGAAAAGTGGGACTATGTAGAATGGATAGAAATTGGTTTCTATAGGATAATAGTTAGATATAAGTAAAATAGATTGATCATCCATCGAGCAATCAATTCACGAAGCAAGATAGATGATTTAATCTAGAAAAGTGATTAACTTAGAAATATTGATTGAAATCTCTATTTTAGGTATAAAATGGTTAGAGTGGAAGTATAGTGGACTAAACTATGAGAGTCATGAGTTAGGATAAGCTTCGTGCTACCTACATTATTTTTATTTGTAGAAGAATTGAAGATTGGCATATCAATTTTAGAATATCAAAAGGAAAAATTAGTTTTAAAACTTGGGACAATGAGAATTTTTAGTGTTTGGTTTGTTGAATCAGTTTATGCTGACTGTTTAGAATATGCAACAATTTTCATATTATTATTATAATATAGGAGAAAAGAAGAGTGAATCAAAGAAGAAATTGGAAGAGATAGGTTTATCGATTTTAATATTTGATTGTATTAGAAGGAAATCAATAAAATGTAGGTTGCAATATAACATTCTTTGGATGTTTGTAATTATAAAAGAATGAGTTTCAGCTAGTTAGTCTTCAGTTAATTGAGTGACAGTAACGTGTGAATCTTGTGTGAATTAGTCTTTTCCCGTATTCAAACCCACATATACGGATTTATTCTAGGTAATTAGTTGCGGAAGAAATAAAACGACAATGACAACTCTATACATCATAAATTGACAATTGTGGTAATTGGTCTTTTTTGTTTTATATGTGATGAAAAGAAATAGGCTACAACCATGCTTTTATATGATCAATGCCAATATGGATGGCATATGGCATGTTTAATACTACTTCTTTTGACTCTCCCATTAAGAGTTTGGATTTGCTCTCATTGTAAGAAATCTTCTAGTCATGCCTCATCTCTTTATAAGGATTGAAGATTTCTTCTATTGTGCATGTCATACACTTTGGTGGTCTAATGATTACAACACCAATTTGGAGGAGTATCGTTTGGCATTCATATTATAGTGGCATTCATCTTTCATGATGTGTGTTTTATAATCCTAATTGACTAAAGGGGCTCTTAATCAACTAGAAGGACACTTGAGAGTGTGTTGAGTATGCATTTGTATTTGATTTAAATTATATACTTTATGATTAGTTTATAGTAGTTAATGTTTTGTATGTAACAATCTTTGTTTATACAACAATTGTCATGTGATATGGCATTGGATGCCAAATTCCATTAGATGTATGTAATTTAATTTGATTAGTATTTTTTCATCCATTGATAGTTGTTCCGTTAGTTGATTTCTTCATATGAATTAGAATTTGAGTACTTAAGTGGAGAAAAATCCTTAACTGGACATTCTTATCAAGTCAAGTCTTATAAGTGATTTTGAAAGTAAGAGAACTTATTGTAAGAATTTGCTTAGCTATGGTATTTTAGTTATTTTAGTAAAGCTTTAGGATTTCTCTTATTTCTATACTTGCATTCTTGGATTCTCCATTTATAATATGAGAGATAGCTTGATTTAGTTTGGTGTAGATTTTTAATCTTTTTTTGAAAGTATGTTGGGTATACATTTGTATTTGGTTTAAATTACATATTTTATGATTGATTTGTAGCACTCAATGTGTTGTGTGTAATGATCATTATTTACACAGCAATAGAAATGAAATAAATGTAATATTATTAGTATTGAAATGAGGGAGTGATTTAAGTAAATCAAGTATCTTTTATTGCACTCTTTTTTAAACAATGATAGAAAAGGATGTATAATAAGCATATTAGACATATAAAAAATAAAAATAAAAAATCTAAATATCAAAATTAAAAGTATTAATGTTTCAATTCTTCAAATAGTTGAGTATTTCTTAATAATTGTAATTTTGCCTATTTATTTGCTTAAATGATTGATTAGTATGCACAAAATGTATACTTTATATGTAATAAAAGAACAAAATATCTTTTCTCGATCATTGCAAAAGTTTATAAAATGAAATTAAGAAAGTAAATGGCAATTCAAATTCTATAAATATATATATATATATACACATATATATATGGTAAAGATAGATTTTTTTTTGTAGAAAATAAATAAATCTAAAATTATTATTATAATATATAAAATACATGGATAGATAGATAATTTAAAAAGTGCTTATAAATTTATTTGGTCACATATACTATTAAATATTTAATTAGTCTTATAGGCTTTTGCTAGAGTAGAAGATAGACTATAATTTCTTCTTTTTGTTTTTTCTTTGTTTAAAAATCAAATTCAATAATAATAAGCATCCATCTACAAATCATAAATGCTTAACAATGTGTCTCTAGTACCAACTATTCACTTGGAAGCATAATTATTTGAGATCTTCTATTAGAATGATAATTTTTTTAAAGATTTTATAAGCAACAATATACATATAATAGAAAGATTTATCCAAAGTCTTTCACTCAACTTTTTTCTTCTTTTATAATGAATTTTAAGAAAATCAAATTCATCAAACTACTCCAATTAGGAATTAGAGAAGAATAACCTAAAAATAAATAAATTATAACATGCTGTAATAAAATAACATGACACATAAAGTATAACTATAGCTACTTCTCCTAAAAATTAAAAAATTTTTAAAAACATAATCTATCTTATAATCACCTTATTTCTAATATATTTTTCTATTTTTTTATTCCATGATTTATTTATATACATATGTATGTACATATGTTCATACAAACAAACAAAAAATCTTTCTTGAAATTTTTTATCAACAAAATAATAATAATAATAATAATATAAAATAAAAACTAAAAATGCTTTTACATAATACTGTATGAATAACTAAAACATCTTCCATCCTTTTATATTCAGACAAGTTGTCGTGCCTTGCTGGCACAAGGATCGTCTACCACGTCAGCCCTAATGGGCAATAACCGCCAGTAAAGCGAGAACTCGATGTCAGGAAACCAGTCGCAATTCGGAGAATTGTGTGCTTGTTGGGCAATTCGGTGGATTTTTGCTTCGCCAGCAAATCGGGGTTGCGTTGTGGAGGAATTGCGGTGTGGGTTTCGCCTGCGATTCGGCACCGAGAACTGGGTTTTGATGGTTTACCGCGTCTTACAGGAGTCTTGCTGCGAACTTCCTCTTGTACACCAAATTTGAGGCGAGAAATTCCTTCTTCAATTGGCTTGAATCTCCCCGCACACGCTCTCAATTTTGCTTCGATCATTCATCAGTCTCGTTTTGCCTCGATCGACCCGCCCGAAGAGGGCCTCCATTGTTGAGGTGTCAATTGCTTCCCTCCGTTTGCTCTGACATTGTGCGATTTCCTTGTTGACTTCAGTTTTCTGATTCTGTGTCACTTTAGCGTAACACTTTTGCATACCTAGCTTACCTTTTTGTAGAAGAGCTTGAAGCGTGAGCAACGTTTGTGTTTTGCTATAGATTCTATGTTTTGAATTATTTTGGGTTACGCCAGAATCGTGAGTTCCAGTTTTAAAAGAAATTGATTTCTAGAATCCGCGTTTCCAGTTTTATTATTCTGTTCTGTAATTGGATCCTTACATTCAAGCGCTGCTGAGAGTTGAATTCTCACATTGACGAGGTGTAAGTGGTGGGTTCTGCAGTCCCTTTTAAGTGAGGGTTTTTGTGTGGGAAGAGTAGGGGAGGCAAGAGTGCAAAGATGGCGAGGTTGTCAGGAATGCAGAAACAAGTACTCAGCCTATACCGATCATTCCTGCGTGCAGCACGAATCAAACCCCCAGAGTCCCGCAAAGACATCGAATCTTTCGTGGGGGCCGAGTTCCGGAAGTATGCCCAGATGGACAAGAAGGAGTTTCAAAGCATAGAATTTCTTCTGAGGCGGGGCAACAAGCAGCTAGAAATGCTGAAGAGCCCAGGTGTAAGCGGCTTCTCCTACGTCGCCCCTAAGTAAACATCAAACCATCTCAACTAAGCCATAGTTCTCAAGCTTATGCCAGTAACTTCTAGAGAATTCGTTGAAATTTTGAGTGATAGGAACCTATTCTATGTACATTCTGTTTTTTCCTATTGCACTCATGGATTGCCACGATCATTCACATCACAGAGGAATGCAGGCGTTGCGTTGTGATGCGGAGAGTGCTGCCTGGTTCTCATGTGTGGAAGCAGGATATTGCAACTGGCTTCAGTTGTGTTTCTTCCCACCCAGCATGAATTCATGCTTCGTTTACACCCTGGATCAATGCATTGGAAATTCGTTTCATTTGGTTATTTCCAATGCATTGATCCAGGGTGTAAGCGAAAATTAAAGTTGGGACAACTTCTGATGATTAGCACATGAAATTCGTGTACTATTTCATGAAATCTTTGCTCGCCATGGTCTGTCGTTTGGTTTCGTAAAGCTTCAGTGATACTGAACATGGTTTGAATGATTAAATGCCTAGTTTTAGCCATTTCCCGCGTTTAAGTCGACTAGGAAGTTCATTATAATATTTTTATGGTCGTCTTTGTTAGCTTTTCAAATCAAAATCTTCGAACACTTCCATTTGACCTAAAATGTTGATCTATTGAAAATTATTTTAGTGTGCTCCAACTAGTCCAATTGAGTAACCAGAAAAAAGGTTCTTTATGTGTTGTAACACTAACAACATATCTTTCTTTTCTCGTTCAAAGTTCCTTGAAACTTACAATTATTTCCACAAAACTAAAATATGGATTCGCAAGATTTTCCCACCGTTATTTCCTCTGATTTTTTAATGGATATGTTTCGATTTGCTAGTCCACAAGTGTATCTCAGACCACACAGAACACAAACCAACTCGGTTTGAATACAAGATCAGCAGCCATTTTCAACCACGGCCACACTGTCCATTCCATCGCTTGCGGCACTTCATCAGTTGCCAATGAAAGAATTTTAGGAAGTCACATTCAAGTCCAGGTTTCGAAACAAGCATATCAATACAGAAGAATCGATTTGAGCGAGAGATGGGATCACAGTTTCCACATCCTCGCTAGGTACACGAACCTCGACAAACTGACAGGCATTCCTATCTAGAAGGTTGTTTGACTGAGGCAAATAAGGAAGGTTCGGAATGCGGAAGCTACATGCGCAGTGAAAAAGTTTCTAGACAATCGAATTCATCTTAACACTTCCCAAGTTTACCACTATCCGTAGAAGAAAGTACACTAACTGGACGGAAAAGATTACAAAAATAATAAGAAGAAGAAAACCCGTGTCTAAGCAGGAATCTAAGGATCTGCACTTCGTAGATCCAAATGCGAAGGAAGTTCGTAAGGGCCGCTAGGGGTCAAAGGCCAGATAAGATCGACACTTACGGTGGGCATGAGGTTCTAATGCACAACAACCGCCATCACCAAGTACAAATTATCCTGATAAGAGATACGACGCACCCAATGGAAAGAAATATGTATATATATATATATATATACTATGAAGTTCCCAGCATCATTCTCTCTCGGCCAAAATCTTGCTCTACATGATTCGTGGCCAAAGCTGCAGGGGAACGTGGACCCAAGGAACACATTGCTGATTCACAGACCCTGGAATATTGACACCAAGACGGGTAAAACGATACCAAAGGCATATTCTGCGCGACTGAACTAAGAATCTACACTGCATATGGTCACCGCACTCACTGTAAACTATGATTTCTACACTGCATCGTATGAAGCACAGGTACCCACATTCTGTTTCCGAATCTTTGGACTTGTGATTTCATTGTCAGGGAAACAGATTGAAGGGCACTTCATGCTTCCTAGACGTGAAAATAAGCAGTTCTGAGATGGTGATGATGATGATAATGATCCTAATACACAAATTTTGCTTGATGTGTGTTTAAACAATTTATCAATCAATCAAACGCTATAGCAATTGTTTCTATAGCTTGTTGAAATGACTGGCGTATGTAGTGAAATGAATACCAAAATATTTTCGTAAAACAACCAATTTTTTTTGATTATGACGAGTAAAATAATTGGGTTGCTTAGTTTTGGTGTTTACAGGCACTTTGAATGCAGCACAGTCAACATACGTAAATCCATTCACTCACATTGTTGAGGTGTGTCCATGGAGTTGAGCTTGAATGGCTTGCATGCATCTTCTGCCACTTCACTCTTTAATTCACGTGTGTTGTGTTGGCAAATATAAAGCACCAAATTTGAATGATAATGGAATGATTTATTGTTTTTTAAGTGCATTATTGTGAAAGAGTATCACTCAGTTCAATTTTATTGAGCATAAATCTAGTAGAAGTCAAAATTGTGTTATTAACAAAATCAATGAAGTTCATATTTTTCAATATTTTAAACAGTTTTATTTGAGCTAAATAGAATTTGCATTAAATATCTAAACTTTATGTTCTATACACTTCAAATTTTAGGCATTGCTACTTTATGTTATATATCTATATATATATATATATATATATAACATTGATGTGAATATGGAAAAGATTGTATTAACTTACTATAAAAAATAGAAAATAAACTTTGCAAATGATTACAAATAATATAACAATAGTTTGAAATAAGACATGTGCATTGATGATTACTTTAAAACATTGTTATAACAATATTTATTTTGAAAGAACTAGATAAATGATAAGCCATATAGTGTAGTTCCCAATACTTTTCTCTTGTTGTTACAAGCATTGTAATAAAAATCTGTGTGTAAACATACAAATTCATTAAAATAAATAAATAAATAAAAATAATTGATTTTTATTGATAAATAATTTTGCTTTGGCACTAGAGGCTAGATCAAAATGTTGCATAAACTTATCATAATCCAATTAAATCAAATCAAATTTCATGTGCATACCAATCTTGTCAATCCATAGCAGGAATCAAAGACACAAACTAAATACCAATTGTAAATTGAAAATCTGTATAAAAGAATATACGCCCTCAGAAGCTGAACAGCAGCTTAACAGAAAATAGACGCATGTCTTGAAATGTTTATTGAAGTCAAGAAGCAGCAGCTTAACATTATGGGAAGCATATTGCAGTAACAAGACGTGATGCCTACATGTACATAAACTTGAAGCTCAACAGAGGCCGTCACAGAGGACCCAATTATTGGTCTAAGACTCGAGTAACTGCGAATTGTGTCGACATACTAAAACAACTAGCACTCGAATTTCTAGCAAACTACTAAACATGCTGCTGGTTAAAATAATCTGGCTTTTGGAAACCTGATATGAGCATGGAAAGTTTACTAGAAACAAGAGAGCAAGGATGAACTTGTTGGCACAGCCAAAAGGAAAAATTATAGCTAATCCACTTCGTACCAGTGGAAAACTTGTGACAAAGTATTCCCAGACATTTTATAAATGGGCTTGCTTTCGTGCCGCATTTAATAATTACAGCATGAGTTAACCAACTGCCTCGAGTTTCAATTAATTGGAACCATCTACAGTTTCATAATGAAACTACGACTCATCTAACTTAAACTTCAATGCTAAATGATCACTCATCCATACCTCAACACCACCATTACATAATACGCACCCTACTCACAACTTTGAAAATAAAACTGGTGGACTAGAGGTGAGAGAAAGATCAATAAAAATAGCCTCTCAACGTTGTTCTACAATTTACCTTCACCTCTGAAAGAGTCGAGCTATCAGAGCGGTGTATAAGCATTAAGAATGTGTCAAACCATCTTCCAAGTGGGAAGATTTGGAAGGTTGGCAGTTACCGTGAAGTTTGAACACCAGTGAAGCTGAAGAAAGATGTCGATTGACTAGAGCATACCTTCAACCCAAAGTCACAGGAATAATTTTGTAATCTCAAATTTACATGCTGTTGACAGTGCGATGCTCAAATTTGATGGGAGTAAACATAGCGGAATATTGTACTGAAGAATTGTCGAGAAGATATCCATTGACTTCTCCAGCATGCCCATCAACCTGTGCAAACATGACGCTTCTCAGTGTCTGACCCAAAACTTAGCCAGGGTCATTCTCTTCAAACCAGTGGATTATGCTTCACTAGCGCAAATAAAATTAGCTTCAAATTCAATACTCATAAAACAGAAAAAAACCGACAATATATTATGCTGACCGTAAAATCTTTCTAACCATTATCAGAATAGTATGTCACTCTGTCTTTATTCATTCAAGTAAGTGAAATGGGCGTAAGTGTAAGGACTGCATATCTCAAAACTAAGCATACACAGTTTCCGCATACCTCCTCGTCGTCGTACTCTTCGCGCTTGCGCCCTAGGAGAGCGGTCGGTAAATCATCATCCATGTTCTTTGCAAAACGCCCTCGAACTCGAGGTCGACTATCTGCCAATGTTTTGCGACAGGCATACTGAAACAATATTGCGAAAAAAACAGTCAAAAACGATTAGAGCTCGGCACCCACTGAAATAATCACCTTCTCATGCAGTTGCTCTACTGAGAATCAGATAACGCAAGATTAATCTTCTTTCTTCATCACTGATCACTACAACCTAGTGGAAAGTGTTTAGAAATAAACATATCTAGTCCAACTTAAACCTGGAACACACGATCCCATTTCCGAAAAGAGGAACATACAACAGAAAGGCGCAGCAATCGATGGGCAAGAAAGGGATAGCAATGCCACCTTTATTTTCTTGTTGAAGTTACGTTGGCTGCGTTTCTGCTGATACCTGTGTATCCTTATTTTACGTTCCTCCATGCTATATTTTCCCACCCTGTAATTGCTATCCTCAAAACTTGGAGATCCACCTCCGCTCAATCCACCTTGCATACCATTCAATGTCTGCACACGCACCAATATAATATCATTAAGAAGGTAAGCATATAAACACCACGTGAACAACTACAAATATGGCCATAGCATCAAAAATTGCCACCCAGGAATGGTACTCGCGAAGCAACTACACTCAGTATAAATACAACCATATATTCTTACTTAATTAGTTCATGAGGACGTAGTCAGCCAAACTGCAAGTTCTACTATCAAACCAGCTAGAAATGCACATTACCGAAAGCTTTACCTGGATATCCCCAGCACTGTAGACACGACGCATCATGGGACGCATGCCAACACTCTGAAACTCCGCGATACTGGGCTGCAGGCGAGCCCCTGGACTTGGCAATTCCCCAGAACGGTCCATCTGGGAATGACGAGAAGCTGACCCATTTCCTGATGGAGATGGTGCAGAATTCATATGCCGGAGCTGGCCTAAAGCATGACTGCTGAAACTTCGCTGCATGCTCGGTCGAGTCATTTGAGGCAGAGGCTGCAACCCGTCCCCGTCTCCGTCAACCTGTACTCGAGAAAAACCTCTCTATAAAGTGAAAAATATTATGCCACCCCTATGAATTATAGATCACAGAAAAATTGCACAAAAGGCACCTAAAAATACAAGCCACAACACCATCAACAAGGCTCCTGAGTTTCACGACTTCTAACATAAGCAAGCACTCGCGAAATACCTGATCATCGACGAAGCTGGCAGTATCAAGCCCCTTGTCCTGCTGCATCACACCTCGCTGATTCATGCTGTAATACTGTTTCTCTTGGGACGTTTTAATCCCAGCTTCACCTCCAACAAGCCGCTCAACCTGATCCTTCCCGTCAGATGAGTTTGGAGATAACACAGGTGACGAGCTCTGATGACCATTTCTCTCTGCAGCAGGTAATAGCATGTCCTGACTTCCAAACCTTGACGGCATACTTGCAACTGGCTGCAATGTCACCACTTGGGTAACGGGCGTGGCTTGTGGAGACGACAAAAACTGCTTCATCTCAGCATTAACAGACATTGCTCTTGCAGACGAGTAAGACATCCCTGGTGGATACCCCATGCTTGACGTGGTCTTCGCATCGAAAGAAGACGGGCCATAGGAAGGGGCCATCTGCCCAACCGTCAATCCGTTGAGCTTCTCGGAGGCCATCACGGACGGAGATATTAACCCAGACTGGCTTATCGAGGGACTTGACGGAGACCCCATCCCGGTTACCCCATTTCCCTGCAGATAAAGACTAGAGATGCCATATCCCATGCCCATGCTCTCCAGGTCCAATGTCGGCTTGCTAAAATTGTAGTTGTTATGTAAAGTTCCATTAGAATAAGTCGCTCCATTTGCTGTAGCTTCTTGCGGGACAATCAAATTCGATTCACACTTCGCCTCTATCTCATCTACAAACGAGTCTCCGTTCAGACTTGCGGGCTTAAAAATGTCGCGGGTTTCGAATGAGCTCAAACTGGACCCTGTAATGCTGTTAAACGTGCCATCCTGAAGATAAACAAGGTGTTAAAAAGAGTGATCAGCCGCGCACAAATTTATCTACGTCTAAGAAAAAAGAATAGAGGATCTTTCATGCCTCAGAGTGTTCTATCTCAAAAACAACTCACTCTATGACCGCCTCTACTAGACCCAGGTAGAACTTCAGGCTTCATAAACTAGAACGACCTTTGAATGTCGAGTAACCCCAAGAATTTGATTCTTTGCGTTGGTCATACATGCGAAGAATTATCACTCCTACTGCACCTACAGATTCCGGAGAGAAACCACACTCTTCACGGCATGGCTGCCACAACTAAGCTTAGTCAGAATTCCCCTCTGGCTTTCTCACCGCAACTGTCCAGTAACTACCCAAAGCATAAGTTAACAAAGTCGGCATGCACACCGAGCTCTAGCCGAACAACTCTCAACTGCAGTCAAATCAGTAAGAGCTCACTCATTCTAGATTCACGAGAGGAAAAGGTCGCAGCGTCGAGCTAAGCGCAGGGAGAGACCCACTCAACTTCTCAATCACCCGCGAATACCAAGATGCAATGGCTAATCAACCACCAGACCGCGGTGTAAAAATTCAGGTTGCGCTCAACTGAGAGCTGCCGAAAGGAAGAACAACAGAGATCCGTTCGTTTTCACTAGAATATGTCTACAAGAAGAGCAAACAAGTAGGGCAAACTAAACTCGGCATCTCGACCTCCACTTGATCGCTTATTCATTTTAATACGATTTGCCTGCTGCGTTACGCTGGAAGCTCTACTAACATGGCACCGAAACCATGCATCCACAAACGAGTCCTCGATTTCCTCATTAGAGCAGCTACTGAGACAATTATGAACCTCTATCACAGCTGTCACCACATAGTGCAGCGGACCGGAAGTAGAATGTGTGACGAAAGATAGAACTCACATCAAGTCCACTAGCTTCGCCAAATGACCCAAAGTCAAGCTCATCGGCATTGTCAAGCAGCACATCTGGGAAAAACAGCGCTTCCGTTTCCGTCCTATTGAGATACAGGTCTTCTTCTCCAGACATTTAGAGAGACGAGGATGATGATCTTCGACGAGCAAGCCCGCGAAACCAACCCCACGCCCCCGGTGGACCCAAACCAACTGATCCTCTCCCGAGTGTCTCCCCACCACTTCACCGCCCTCCCAACACTCCCATCAGCCTAACCTGTTGTCCCCGCTCATGGTTGCCGACTCTATCTTTCTCTCACGCCACAAAAGCACTTACCCTCACAATCCCACGACAATCCCACTTCTCCTCCTCCTCCTCCTACAAATCATCAACAAGATCTTCAAATCGAACTGCCAAAAAAAAAAAAAAAAAAAAAAAAAAACGCGCTTGTGTCCAAACCTGGACCCAAAAATTCCAACCTCAGTTACACAAATCACAAAAAACCAACACCGCCCCAACTCACAAAATCTCCCCAAGGATTCTCCTCACACCAAAATCACACACAATTTCTGTTTCCCCTTCCACTTCCTGCCGAATTGCTAGAGATTCCTCCCCCTCTCTTCTCATACAAACGCCTCTTTCTTCTTTCTTTCTTCTTCTTCTTCTTCGTCTACTTCAGATTCTTTGCTTTCTTCCTCTAACCGCCCCGCACGAGAAAAGGGCTGTAAATGGCTCACTAGAAAGCACAGAAAAAAGGGATATCATGAGGCAGAGAGGATCAGCAGACGAATACGGAGAAAATCGTCGACAATAGTGGAATGGTAAGTACAATCGAGCACAAGGGCCAGCAATGACAGCAGAGTCAGAAGAAAACATCCGCAACAAGACGACGACGACGAAGTGCCCCCCGTAAAGCCTGAGATCCTACCCTCCCTCCGTGTCTTCCTAGGTATCAATAGCTCTACTCCGGTTATATTTAGGTATAAACTATATACCCCTCCTGTTCCCGTTCCCGTGCGGTGGTTCCCATGATTGGTTGGCAGATGCAAGGGACCAGTGAAAATCAGCAAGAGTGCACTCACTCACTCCTTCACTCCGTCTATGTCTTTCCCCTTTTTCCCATTATGGCATCACTTCATTAAACCCCCCTACCCCCACTTCAGTGCCCAGGGAGAACTTTGAACATGTCCCCATATCCTTTATTTACTCGCTTTTCCTGTATTCATAATTAATTAATTACCCAGTTCAAACTACATTGACCTTGAGCTTGCTTCTGAATTTCCGGAAATGGAAAAGTATGTCTTGTCCGAATCCATTAACCCAAATGTCAATCCCGTACCCCAACTGTTATGGGAATTTACTCTCTCTCTCTTGGGTTTGCATTGAGAGAGAATGAATGAATGGATGGATGGATGAAATTTCCATCTGCATGGGGGAAACGAACTTTGATGATGACGATCGTATATTTATTCATCCATGTTTGGTTGGTTGGTTGGTTGGTTCGTTCGAAGCGACATCCCGGCGAGTGGTGGTCACGTCTTCTTTCTTTCTTTCCTTTGGGTGCGTGAAATTGAGGCTGCAATGAGCTCTGGCACGGATTCGCACTGCAGCAGCAGGGCCTAGAATCAGCAGTCAATCTGAGTCGCGCATGAACATGGAAGAAAGGCGATGAAGAAAGGCCCGAAAAGAGAGACGGAATTGAGGGCTTTTTTTTATTTTTGTTTTGGAGCCAAGTGTGCAATAACTCGGTGTGTGCCCGGGGAGGGAGGGAGTAGAGTAGAGTAGAGTACTACTGCTTTTTATTCTCCCTCCCCCTCCCCCTCCCCCTCTGACACCCCCGCGCCTGTCTTGTTGCAGAGACACTTGCTCGCAAGATGACGAATCCGGAGGAGCCTCGTAGGGTAGAGTAGCTAGCCCTAGGGCCCAGAGACGGAAGCTCCCCTCGACACTGATCTCACTCCTGCTTGGTTTTTCACCACCTCCTTGACTGCACACAGCAGCATCCGTGAGCACATCGTCGGCTCCACCTCCTGACCGCAGCTTTCTCCTGCCGCCGGCTCGCGAACGTCACCGATCACCATCAACGTCTCAAGTGAGGCCAGGCAAAGAATCAATTCCACAGATTCTAGCTACTCGCCATTTGCTTACATTTAAAAAGGGGGTGACGAAGCAAAGAAGTAAAAAAGCCAGAAAGGAATAAAGAAAAAAGGGACCCAAAAGGACAAAAACAAATAAAATAAACACGAGAGAAAAGGAGAGAGAGGGCAGGACCGGCACTTATGGTGCGGTACACCACTCATGATTTTCTTCAACTCCAGGAAGGAGGCATAAAAAATGAAAATAAAATAAAAGAATCTGGTTGCAACATCGACGCAACTCCGGGTCGCAGTCCTGGAAGACGCGCCGGCAAGGGAACGCACTACTCCCACTCGCAAGTGGACTCTCGCGCGGCTCCTCCTCCTGGTCGCACTCTTATTCTTTCACTCGCACAGTCCTACACATTCCACATGGCATAGTCCCTCCACTGTCTCTCTGTCTGTGTCTAGTTCAATAAAATCCGCTCCAGTTGCGCACCGGCATCATCTCCGGAATCGTCTCCGACGCCCCAATTGCAGGCTTGGCTTGGCATGGGCATGGCTACTTGCGTCGCGGTCCCATGGATGGCTCTGCCTGCATCAATGGCGTTATTTAGATAGTTTAGTTCCTTCATGAAACAAAGAGCCGCGCCTCCCAATGGAATGAATGAATGAATTCACTACTCTCACCAACACTCTCTCTCTCTCTTTTACTTGGTTTCTTTTTGCTTGCTTTATTGCTATTTTTTCCTTTACTGAATAAAATTCTTCTGGAATGTATGAATGTGTGAAGTCTCCACTCACAGTAATACCTCATTCTAGTGCCACATCTTTTAATATTACTTGAGGGGAGATGGATGCTTTACCCCTCCTCCTCCTCCATGTGGGCTGAATACTACCACTACAACTGTAGAAAGAGATGAGAGAACTGTATGAAAACACAAATCTACACGCCATTTCATGCACCATGTTAAAATATATAAAATATAAATAAAAAATAAAATCTGCGTGCCTATTAATAGTTGTATGTTGTTATCTTGTAATTCTACTACTTTGGAGAATAAGTTTTTTCTGACTTTGACCTTGATTGTTAGATCCTGCTGTTAAACAAATACACTGTCGTTGATGGTTGCTTCGGGTTCTTTGCTCCATGTTGGCGTCTCAGTCTCAAATGAAAACTTATTTTTATTGATTATTTATTTACCTTTTTTCTTTTTTTCTTTTTTTGGTGAAAGTATGTTGTATTTTTTGAATGTATTTATAAACATGGTAAATTTATTATTTTTTTAATAAAAATATTATAATTAGATATCTAGTTTTTAGAATATTAAAAGAAATTAAATTTTTGAATAAATTTCATCAATTTTAATAGATTCATCAAACAAATTATCATCTAAACTCTATTGTTACAGAGGTGCCTTTAAAAAAGAGTATAATTGTTCAAATGTCAAGTACAACTTTTTAGAATCAACTTTGGTATAGAAATATTCAATTAGATGATTGAAATTTTATTATATTATTAAATATTGATAGTGATGGATATATATATATAAGGCCCAAACTTAAATCAAATTTTTAGAATAAGTTTATCAACACAAAAAAAATATATTTATATGTCTTGGTTGAATAGACACATCTATCAAGTAAATAGAGTTTAATGATGACATTCATTAATAAAATTTTATTATTAAATTGTTAGTATATATGGAATATTTATGATTCTTCTAAAATTCTTTTTCATATATTCAAAAATTCTTATAGATTTATAAAAGTTTTCACAACCTTTTAAATACTTATAAAACTTTTAACATGATTCTAAAACTTTCGATAGTCTTTTAGAAGTTTTTATGGCCTCCAATAGTTTTATAAGTCTTTAGAGAAGATTCCTTAAACTTCTAAAATATATCCAATATTTTAAAACATACTATACAAGTTTCTATAAGATATATGAAGACACATTAAATAAAGAGTCCAATCATGATTCATAAAATACTTAGATTGTTTTAGAATTTGTATGAACAAAATTGATGCAAATCATGATTTTTCTCAATTTTGTCAACACAAATTCTAAAACAATCTAAGTATTTTAATGTTTTAAGTCTTGTGTGTAATCTTGTTGCTAATCTAGTATCATATTCTTTTTGTACATTTTGATCTTTTTTCTTCTTCTACTTGCATTCCAAATACTAAAATCATAATACTTAATAAGAATTATATATATATATATATATATATATAGACATACACACACTTATGAATAAAAATAATTAAAAATGGTATTCTTTATCCCTCGATGAAAAATATGGGGAAAAAAAGATATTACCTCTAACAATCAATTTTTTTTCTATTTACTAAATTTTAAAATTTTGAACGTGTACCTAAATCCAAGCTTTGAACGTTGTGCCCTCAAGTAAAACCATACAAATGTGTTGTAACCAAAGGCCATACACCTTTCACTATTCACAAGAATGAGAACCTCGTCATCATCAGAAAACCCATGTCCAGACCTCGTCGAGAACTGTGCCGGTTAAGGTTCGAACACACAACTTCGGAACGGTAAAAACGTGACAGAATTAAAAATGATTATCATATTCTGTGCTATCTCTCGCAACGCTGCAATAGAGTATAGAAACAGACTGTAGTGACATGATTTTAATCTGTTGATGGGGACGTGTACGTGGGTTCCATGATGGGAGGCCCATTTCGTGCTTCGACTATGACCGCATGGATTAGGAACAAGCTGCCGTATCGGTGAAGGTGGGGAACCCCAAGAGCTCATGCATTCGTCGTCCAGATTCACAGCCCCGCGGTCGAAGTATTCTCTACTCGAAACTAGCTCCTTGTGGAATTCAGCTCTTGTAATTAGGTGATTTTTATTCATTTACGGCTTTCGGTACAGGAACCCAATTGTTGTAGCCGTATGAATCTCGGATGTAATTTTTGCTATGCAGTGTGAAGTAAGCGGGATTTTCAACAAGAGAAGATCGTAGTTGGGAACTGTGCAGCTTGTTGAACTGTTCGTACCCAATGGCTTGCTCTCAAGTCATGGCAACGAACCCATCGAACACTCTTCAACAACCCACCCCCGACACTTGCATATCCCTATCACTTCCTAGTGTCCCAACCCACCTCTACCCGCGGTCTCCATGCTGCATGCTGATGCTGCTCCACACCCACATCGGATGCGCCAGTTCTGGAATTTTCCGCAGAAAGTTATCTTCAAGCTGGGTACTCCAAGGATGTTCTTTACGAGCAACATGGTTTGATTGTTCTCTCCGTGAATCCTCCTGAAGAAACTACACGTTTTCATTGTGATCATTTTGTCCCCCACACTTGTCACAAATATCAAGGTAAGCCTTTGGTTGGAACTTGTGCAGGAATATTATACGCAGCAAAAGTCATGGAATGAGTCTAGTTTCGTGATAGTAAATGAGTCTGCGAAACTGAACTTGTGTTTTTGTTTTTGTTTTTTGTTTTTGTTTTTTGTTCTTTTTTTTACTGTGAAGACAACTGATGGGAGCTTAGAACGATTCCATGAGCTCACCAGGTACACTAGCAGCCCTCACAATGAGCAAGTTGTGTGCGTGGAGCATTGTGGTGCTGTAATTCTCCATGCCAACAACATCGCACAGTTGCACGAAATCTCCCTCAAACATCAGAAGCAAGGGCAGCGATTCACGTCGCGACGAACGCCGCGTCTGGATTTAGCATTCAGACTTGCTGACTTGTGGGGTGCGGTTATGGCTGCCCCACGGTAGTCAATGCTTTCCACGGTTAAGGATATTCTCATATTAATATTTATATCCTTTTTTTTATGTGGTAGTTTTAATTTTGGAGGAAAAAAAAGTTACATCTTGTGGTGGTGATTCAAGGTTCTATATTTTGTTTTTATTTTTGAAGAGAATTTTACAAAAAAACATGGCTTCATTCATAAATTGTAATAGGGCATGTCCTTTTATAGTAGACCATAAAGAAAGAAGAAGCAGAATTATTTGAAAACTAATTGTGGACCTACATTAAGTAGCTTTTTTATGTAAAAAGTGTGTACTTAAATATTCAGAACGTTGTCAGAGAGTACAAATTGTCAAGTTGCAATGCCTAGGATGCTTTAGAAATTTTATTAAAATCTTCCATATTATACAAAATGTGTTACTTAAAATGTGTGAATGTGAAATATATATGACTCTCTTTACAAAGATTGCAATATTGGGTTAGACAAGCTTTTGGTGAATCTTTTCCTTTTTAAAATGTGATTAGAATTTTTGTTAATAATAGAATTAAGCAAAAGTGAATGGACTTGTTAAGATTTCACCGTAAAAAAGACTTTGTTAGATGACATTATGATGAATAAAAAATAAATTATTTTGATTGACTCAATTCAAGATATAAAATGCTTACTTTAAGCAAGAAAGAACAAGAAAAATCACAAAAAGTAATATATAATAAAAAAAGGTAGAAAAGTGTGGCACACAAGACAATGCAAAATCCTAAATAGATAAGGTAAAAATTAATTATTATCATTATCATTATTATTATCAAAAGTTTTGAAGAAGTATGAAAAAAAAAAAAAAATATGTGAAAAAAAACTAATAGCATTGAGATAGGTTTTGAACTTGATAATTTTAGATAATGTTTAGAAGAGTGTTGGCTTAAATAATGTAATCTTGAATGTTTATTGAAGTTTAGATTTGTATTTGTATTTTTTTTGTATATATATATATATATACTAAATTAATTTATCATGTAAAATTTATATATATATATATATCTTAAATTAATTTATCATGTAAAATTTATATATATATATATATATATATATATTTAAAATAAAATAATCAACAATATTTTAAGACAAAATTTTATTTAAAATGTATGCATTCTCTTTCATTCATATTCCAAAGATTCTTTTATTGGTTATTGAACACATTCATTGCAAAAAAAAAATAACTATGAAAAATGTATATATCTAAATAATTATTTGTGTTATATTATATAATTTCATAATAATTTAACTTCTTTAGGATTCATTTGATATTTTAAAAAAAACTAAAATAAAACTAAAATAAAATATTATACAATTATTTATGTTATTTCAAATAAATTAAAAAATAAATATAATTTTTTAAAGTAATAAATAAATAAATAACTAAAATTGGAATCATATTTTATTAATTTAATAATTTAAAAATTTAAAAATCAAAGTATAGTTCACATGCAATGTCCATATACTTAAAAACATATTTTTTGATTGAAGAAGGTTCTTGGATTGTAAGCAATGTTTAATTCACAAAACAAGTGAAAGCCTTAATTTTTTTATTTTAAGAAGAAAAATGCTACTAAGTATAAATAATAAAAATAATTATGTTCTTGCTCTATATTATGAAAAGATTCAATTGCTACTTAAAACAAAAACTATATCTTTGTGTCAGGAACATACTTAGTTATTTCAATAATTATCTATATAATTATATAGAAATAGGTAAAAGTAGATTAATTTCATAATATCTTTTAGAATAGCTTTACAGAAGCTTCATAGACACGGTTTCGACTTTAAACATGCTTGAAGTTGATTAGTAGGTTAGAAACTTAATCAACAAGTTGATTGCATAGTAGTATCTTACAGAACAAGTTAATTATGTGGTGTATATGTAGAAAACTTGCCTTGCAAGTTAAGATATATGTCTTGCAAAGTCAACATGTATTAGAGGTCCTATAGAACATTGCCACGTAGCTTCTAATTAGACAATATATATAGAAGCAAGAGTAAAACCTTCTTCATTCTTGTCAAAGCCTTTCTAGGCCTTGGACTTATTTCAAGACTTTCTAGTCTTCTTGTCTTTAAAAAGAGCCATTTTAATTCAATATACTATCTTTTTTTTATTGATTTTTAGTCTTTTTGAGTAACATAAGAGTGTATTGAAGATTTGTTTCTTTAAGATTCATGTCTTTACTATTTTAATAACAATGCTAATTTATTATTCTTGTCTTGTTTTAGAAGTGAGTAGATTACCTTACTTCTATTTTTGTATTTTGAAGGTTGTAAATTATCTACCTTTCAAAAAATTGTTTAGTTTTTTAATACTAGTTTTTTCTTTAAAGAGAGAAAACTATCCCTTTTTGTAGAAATTTTCATTCAATATTAGAAGTTGTAGATTACTTTCCCATAATTTGATTTGTGGATTTGTTAAATAGTTCAATATAGATGGAAAAACCATAGATGCTACACTTGCTAGAAGTAAGAATAGATTTGTAACTATTGCAAATATTTCTGAACTTGTCAATACTCTCAGAGAATAAATTTTACACATCACCAATACCAACCACAAAAATACTAATTCTATTCTTATGAAAGAAGTTGAGAATCTACATCAAAAAGTTGTGTAGTTGAAAGAAGCTAGTAGATCGACCTCACAACCAAATTTAAAAAGTTTTTCTTCTATACATATGATGGAAATATCAACTTCTAATATTGAATGAAAATTTGATGGAACAAGATTAAAATTTTTAGGATTTTTGTAATAAGTCAAGTTCTATCTAAAGTTGCATTCCTTCCAATATCTTGATGGCTTTATTCAAGTTGGATTCAAAGGTGTATTTCTATAATAAAGTATTTTTAAAAAATATTCACCATTTATAAAAAAAAAGATTCGTGACTCTTTTATGATTTAAATTCATTCTTAGAAGTATTTATGGCTACATTTGGAGGTAATGATCAAGACAAAATAATAGAGATTAAATTCTTATCTTAACAATAAAAATCTCGATTAGTTATCATATATGCTCATAAATTCTAAAACCTTACTTGCAACGTTGTCAAGATATAAAATGGCTAATAGGTGAAAAGATGAAGAAAATATCATATTTTTGAAGATCTTATATTAAATATATTATAACAAATTTTCTTGGAAAAATAGGTAATAATGAGAAGATAGAAAATTTAAAGGTGCTTATGCTGCCTATTTGCAAAATAGGCTTCTATTCACTTTGTAGGACCACAAATAGAGCAAAATAAGGTAGATTAGAAAAATAAACAATGTAAGCATCTTTGGAAAGAAGTTAAGAGTAGTTTGTGGCAAAAATTACCTTAGAAATTCAAGAATTGATACCTAGAGAGGACCCACGGTCGAAATCAGACCCCGAGGCACAAAACCAAGCCTCCACAATGATTTTGGGGTATTTTTGAAGATCATAGACTAGAATCTAGGAGTTGACTTGATGGAGTTTCTTTGAACATTAATTTGGAGTGATTTAAGTATGTATTGACTTTGTAAGAGCTTTGCAAAATTGGAATTTGTTTTGGATGACTTTGGATTTGCAAAATAAAATGGGTGATAATTTTTGGAGAATTTTGTAAGTTTGACCGTAGATCTACAGATGAAAATTTTTGAGTTTCTGGGTGTAGTTGTACTTGATGTGTGTTGTGAATTTGGATTTGATAGAATGGTTAGATTGAAAATGATTAAGGTTTTTGTGGATTATGGTCTTAGAATTTAGGGTTTTAAAGACCAATGAGATTTTCTTAGATATCTGTCAATCTGCCAATTAGATTGAAGCAAATTTTTTCACAAAGGTAGTCAGATTGATTTCTAATAAGTATGTAAATTTTGGAAGCAAAGTAATAGTTCAATTAAGAATAATTGGTTCAAGGAAATTGGTATCAATATCAAAGAAGGAAGTCAGCCGATACATAAGTACATTTTTGAGGTTATCATCTATTTGATAATTTTTATCATTTTTAATTTAGTTTTTGTACTTGTTTTAAACTTAATTATTAAGAAGTGTACAAAATTTGAGTTAAAATAAATGGTTCATTCATTAATTATTGAGATTTAAACCTGTTGTAGGAATTACTTGGAATTGATTAGGGTTAGGATTTATTAGGATTTTTTAGGGTTTGTTTAGGATTTGATTAGGATTTGATCAAGATTTGTCTAGGTTTTGGTTAGGACTTATTTACGGTTTGTCTAGGATTTAACTAGGATTTAATTAGGATTTTGTTAGGATTTTATTAGAGTTTGTTTAGAATTTGATTACGATTTGATTACGATTTGGTTAAGATTTGTTTAAGGTTTGATTAGAGTTTGACTAAGGATTGATTAGGATTTTTTTAAGATTTGATTAAGATTTGTTTAATATTTGATTAGGATTTGACTAAGATTTGTTTATGATTTGATTAGGGTTTATTTAGGAATTGACTAGGATTTCACAAGGATTTGATCAATATTTGATTAAGGTTTGATTAAGATTTGACTAAATTTTGACTGGAATTTAATTAAGGTTTTTATTTTAATATTTTATTAAGATTTCTATTTTAGTATTTTTTTTTGAATTTCTATGTTATTCCTTTATGATTTCTTTAAAAGATCTTTGAGAATTCTTTGTGTTTATTATATAATTACTTTGAAATTTTAATTGAATTTGATTGATGTTTGATTATATTTGCTAATCTTTAATTATTATTTATTTAAGAATCTATTAGAGTTGTTAGTACTTGTTGTTGCAATTTTCTTTTTATCTTCCACAACTAGATGCTTGGTGCATTCTCAAGCCAAACACCACGTAATATGACAATGTGGACTAAAATGACAAAGTCCTTATCAATCAATTTTGATATAAGTTGAAAGATAACATCAAAGATTTGTTATTAAAAATTTTAGAAGCAAAATCTTTAAAAAAAATTATTATTCAAGCCATTGTATGTGATAATCAATTATTTGAAAGGCATTAAGTATAAAAACTTGGTTGAAGGAAAATAAGCCAAGTAATGATGGCAACTGTCAAGTTTTCAAAAATTTATTAATCAAGGCAAAAATCAATGCAAATTGTTATGATATATTTTAAATCTCTTACTAAGTAAGAAAAGACTTAACATTGTTAAAAGAGTTTGTGCTTATATTATAGAGAAGCTAAACATATTATTCAACATTATCCAAAGAAACAACATAATCACAAAATGAGGAGCACAACTGCCAAAGAAGACAATATATCAAAAAATAATTTTTGTGTGCTACAATAGAGACCATGCAGTTTGAATTATGTACAATATCTAGCAAAGGTCTTATTCTCTCCTCAGATCCATCACCTTATTTTATAATAGATATATATTTAGGACCTAAAAATCACAAAGTGAATATATTGTTAGATT